ATGCAGGGGCGAGCGCATGCTGCCCAGCCAGACCTCGAAGCACCGACGCGTGGCTTGGGTCTTGGCGCATTGTACGTAGTTGCATCTTCGTGCGCACAACGACCTCACATCATCCATCGGTCGCCAGTCGCCAGTCCCAAGCGTGTCGTGTTGATGCTGGCTGCTGGCATTCCCGGCCGGCCGAGCATCTCAGCCTCAGCTTTCTGCGGATCGGTCCGGGGGCGAAGAGACGAGTCGCAGTCAAGTGTACCCAAAGAGGCTCGAGGAAGAACACGTGTGAACGTGTAAACAAATCGCCAAGCGCCTGTTCCCGCCCACTTTCCATTGCAGACATGCCGGTGATCTCGTGTCAAGGCGACGGCATCTGCCACAATCTTCTGCATCAGAGTCACGAACGCTATGCAACGTCGGTCTGCCGGAGCAGTACCCATAGTCTATGCTTCTAAGCGCGTCGAATTGCCAAGAGTCCTGCCGTGTCGTTCCACCTACGCTCTCAAATCTGGAATACAGGGACTTGATCTTGGCAGCCCATTGAGTGAGCCCGCTGCCTGGAGCATTGTTGCTGCGTCGTCGACGGCGCAATACACAGGGCCTCTCGTTTATGCCCTTCTTCGACCTGTCGAGGGACAGCTAGACGTCAAGTGCTCCAAAGCTGCAGCCTTGGGCCATTTCCCCGTCGCATGGTCAATCAATACCCGATCAAGCTTCAGCAAGCTTGGCTCGAATCGAGTGTTATTCGTTTTGCAATGCATGGCTAAATGTACAGTGGTGGACATGGCAAATACTACAGCGGCGGGCTGGGTCAAGCGCAGAAGGTGCCAAGTGCGGCTCCGACCATACCCGTGTTCTCTCTCACACCACCTTGCAACTCTTCACTCCTCCTCCTTCGCAAGGCTGGCGCTTCTCCAGCCGCCAAATCTGCTAGGGCCATTACCAGTACCGAAAGCAAGACGAGCTTCTAAAACATCGCGGTTGCTTCCCGGAACAGGAGAAGGTGAATTTCCACCAGGCGTGCTCCAGCTCGAGGCCGGTCTGAGTTGCGAGTCGTGGGATTGCAAGCCATTCGCGAGGGCTTCAGCAGCAGGTGGAGATGATGGCGTTGAGGCGGAAGAAGAGAAGAGGGTGGTATTCTGTTGGCCTTGAAGGGAGGGCGGAGAGCGGACGGATCCGGCCGAGCCTCTTCGACCCGTCAAGTACGCGCTTGCAGCGGTCGCGGTCTCAGCGACGCGAGAACGGCTGGGGCTCGACGTGACCGTCGCGGCACGCTGCGGTCTGCTCGGAGGTGATGCGTCAGAGATGGCAAGACCGGCAAGTGGCGTATCGCCGCTGATCATGCCGTATGGCGTTGCGAAATGCACCCCGCCGCTGGTGCCCTGTCCCTGCGAAGGGCTTCCCTGCTGGCCTGGCGAGTAGCTAGCTGCCAGGTCAGCTGGAGACGCGGGCAAAGACGCGGAAGGCGGTGGCGAAGCAGCGGGCATGCTCGATCGAATCCTGCCAGGCACGCCCCTAAGCATGCGCGCCTTGTTAACAATTTGGCTACCGCCAACCAAGGAAGAGCGTCTTGAGCTCGTCTCTGGCTCCACAATGTGCTGAGGGAGCGGTGGTACGGGTGGCACTGATGCTGTCAAATTGTCGTCGCTGGTGCTTGGTTCGGTCTGCCGATCCTTGTCCATTGTTGTAGCGTCGTCCTGGGAGGAAAGTCCAGACACTCGTCGGGTGGAGGGAGTGCGTGAAGGCGTGAAGACGCCATTGTGATCCCTGTCCTTTGGACTTTGGGATGAGTCGACATCATGTGCGGCAGTGGTAGAGGTGGTCGCCGTCGAGGCTTGGTGTACAGCTGAACTGCTCGTCCTTTCAGCCTGTGACTGCGAGCGGCTGGCACTGCTACCGCCAAAGTTGAAGCCGAGGAAGCGAGGTCTGGCATTGAAAGCGCTGGATCGCCGCCGCTTCTTGCTGGTAGAGTCAGTCGCATCGCCGCTTCTTCGCGTTTCTTCTTCCGTGCGCTCTTCCTGCAGTGTCAAGGTGGGGTCAAAGCTGCGCCAAGTCACAGCAACAAGCACTGCCGATCCGAAGACGAACGCTGCCCAGGCTGCGAGCAGATTCGCGATGACTTGGTTCCTGCCGATCCTGTTCTCTCTCGCGCTTGCGTAGGTGCCTCCGGCCAAGATGCCAGCTGAGCAAGCAAAGGTGGTGGCACCGCCAGCAATGCTCAAGTACTGCAGTACGAGATTTCTGTAGATGAGTCTAAGCTGTTCACATCTTCTAGAAGCTGCCGCGACTTGATTCAACTTCTTTTCGCCCTTCTTGGGCTTCAATGCAGGGTAGAGGATCGTGGTCGTTTCCTGGGGCGCATCGCGGAGCTGCTCGATGACATCCGGATGGGCTTGCATGACCTCGTCTTCACCAGAGCCGATGCGACGTTCCTCCAACGGAATGCTCGCGGCACGTGCAGTTGCATCGCCAGCAGCATCCGCATCAGCATCATCTTCGTTACCCCACTTGATCTGGCCAGCCTTGCTGGCGGAGGTGAAGGGAGATCCTGGCGAAAAAGCGCCGGGCTCGGCGCTCAGTGGCGGGGCTGGTCCTTGACGATGGGCTCGTTCCGCGCCCACAGCGGTGTGTATGTCTTGACTTGGAAAGAGGTAGAAAGTCTTGACCATCTCGCTTTTCTTGTCGGCCAGCTTGACCTGATGTCTGATTCGGTATAGCGTGTGAAAGCCGATGGGCACGAACACGATGACGATGATGCACGCCCAACAGGTCCAGGTGATCATGGTAAATTGGTAGTACCAGTACGCTGCAAGTGTCGAGAGGGAGGGTAAAGACCTTCAGTCTGATGTGCGGTCCGGTCAAGGTCCCGTGGGATCAATTCACCTTTGGTCACTTGTAGCCAAATATCCTTGGCATCCGCCACGAGATTAGTGAGGTTCGTCCCCGCATCAGCGGCAGCTGCGGCGCGCAACCAGTCGTCGCGCCTGCCGATCTGCTCGTCGTACAGTTTGTTGCAGAGCAGAGAAGGTATCAATATGGTGGTCAGGACCATGAATGGTGTTCCGAGAGCGACTGCGTTGAAAAGCCAAGGGTTCAAAATGTACCGCTGGACCGTGCTTTTGCCTCGCATCCTTAGCGCGTCAGGGAAAGCGCTCAAGGTGCCCCAAGCGCAGGCCCATGCTGCGACCCACAAAGGGTACCATACGATCTGTCGCCACAGGAAGAAACGTCGCTGATAGTGCCCGTCTCTGTAAAAGCCAATGTTGATGAAACAGTATGCACTGTAGCAGATAGCGTAGCTGCACGAACATTGGTATGGATTAGCGTGCAGACTTGCCTGTCGTTCACAGTAGCAGGAGCTCACAACAAGATGAACGAGCAGAGCGCCATGACCGCATTTGGAATGAGGAAGGTGCCCTGAGGGGTTGGATAAAATTGCACAAACCAAGCCTTGCCTCGGTACAACCGTCGGAGCACGACCGACCATGCCATGAGGCAGAAGATCAGAATGGCGCCTACGACGAAATAAAGCTGCCAGAAGAACGAGAGGCCGCGTCAGGACTTCGACTACAAATGTCATTGCGCTTGCCTCCCGTCTTGCCTGCTCATTGCTCACCTGAATGTAGAAATATGTAGGAGCGGTGGGCTGAAAGAGTTCGTGCAAGAAATCGCGCACCTCTGCCACGCTGCCCGTCGGCATGACACCGTCGGGCAGGTCAGCATCGAAAGATGGACCCATCATCTTGTGCTACGAGTCCACGACCCAATCGATGCTGCTGACAGGTAGTGACAGCCTCTGAAGCCGGCCTGCTGCGCAACTTGCCAATGGAGCAAAGGTAGCAAGCACTGCACGGGCGTCGTGTGTGGAGGCTCGAAATAGCGAGAGCAGGCTGGGGAAGGTCGTAGGTCGGAAGCAGAGCAACTAGGATATATGGGAGGGAGAAGTATGGTTCGAGCGCGAGCGGAAGTCTCGTCGATGGTGAAAGCTGCTGATATACGTCCGTGTCTGCCAAAATTCCTGTATCGAGATGATGATACCGGGCAGCTAGCTCATCGTCGATCTCAGCCAACTGCAATGCGGAGGGAATCCGTTCTTGCAATCGTGACCGCACTGCTGGTGTTTGGCATGAACGCCATCGCATAGGTGCTGCATGTGCATGGGAAGCCATACCTTTGCGAAGACTATGCTGCTCCTATCGACGGCTTCAACAGAGCTTGGGCGAGAGGCCGTATCAGCCAAATGCTCGAGCGTCGCGAGTGGAGCACACCTGCACACAGAGACAGGCACAGAGAGCTCGAGCAAGCAGGCTGACCACGCTATGCTCGCACTAGCGTATCTGATGGCCAAGCGAAAGCTAGGATGCTGCAGCTCTTTTCAATCACATGAATGTCGAGGATCGGAAGCTTAGCCTGGAGTATCCTCTCTCTCGGCGCAACAAGAACGAGTGAGTGAGTGTTACTGTGCTGTTGCGTAGCCACTTCTCTCCCACCGACAGCCGTATCGGCGCTCGGGACGCAGCAACTTTCACATCCGGTCCTTCCGACCAGCGCAAATGTCCGAAGCAGAGCACCAAGTTCACACAGAAAAGTATCAATTGTCAGTCAGCATGAGCTGCCGCTGCTGCTTGCTCATGCAGCACGCATGAATCACGACTGCGTGGGAGAGAGAGGTGCAGCTCGCAGCAGACAGCAGACAGCAGACAGCCAGTCATCCGTCAACAAAAGCAAGACCGGGACCCAAAGAAGCAGGCCATCCTTTTCGGGCGCTAAAGCATGCAGATGCAGAAACTTTGCTGACAGAAGAAAAAGAGTCAGTCCAACGTCTGTTGCAGGCCGACCGACCGACCGACCGCATTCGCCATCCGCCGCTCGGATTCGCAGTCCGCCCCTCGGGTCTTTTTGGAGTGGCCAAACGTATGCGCGCGACGCGTTAGCGTGGTCTGGATGCTTATTGATCGGTCGGGGTGAGATGCTAAAGCGACAGCGACGGTGACAGCGACAATCGTGACACCAACTCAAAGCTGGGCCGTTCCCCAGTCCCCTCTCTTCAGTGGAGTCGAGTTCGGTGTCAGTTCACATTTTGACAAGGTCCCCGACTCAACGACGAGCGACAGCGCATTCGTGATCGCCTTGCAAGAGCAGCATCGTCATGCAATCTTTCGCACGATTCAAAATCAACGAGACGAAACGGCACGCGGTGAAAGCAACGAGAGGCAAAGCGGATCGGACCAACTCAGCCTGGAGAGTACTGTAGCCGAAACTCTAAAGCGGGTCACGCGTCGTGACCCAGGAGAGAGGGCTTTGATCGACTTCTCGCGACCCGCACGCGCCTGGTACTGTTGGAGCTGCAATTGAGAGAGCGAGACGACACGCTACGGATGCAAATCTTTCGAGCGGGGCGAGGGCCCAAGCTCGGCGGAGGCAGATCGCGAATGAATGTACGGTCAACGACGCTTCTCTTGGATCTCGGCTATGCCCCATCCGAACGGTAAGTGTAAATAGCGCCAGGGATGCGAATCACAAGACAGGCTTCAGCTTTCAGGATCGCAAACGCAGAGCCAAGCGTGTCCCATCTCCCGATCGCCCTGAATGTCCGTGATGCGTCATGCGCGCTGCCAATCAGCTGCCGCGCACACTCTGACTTGATTTCCCTGATCGACCTCGTGGAGTCAAATATCATGTGATTCGATGCCTTCCCCTCCGCCTCCTGCTCGGCTGTCATCTGCGACGAGCGGGGTGCAGCGGCAGGGACATGCTGCGTATGCGCATTACAGCGCACTAGACCAAGCCGTTTGGCAAGCGAGTGACCGTCATGACAGCAGCTAGGCTCGCAAGGCCAATCAATGTCTTACTCTCGGCGTCCATTTGCCATTGCTGCGAGCTCCGGGGCCATACAAATTTGTAAATGAGGATCGGCATGATACCAAGCATGCACTAGCCAGCCGTACAAGCGACTCAGACCACCGCGCTAACGATCTGAGTATTCGAGATCCCTCTCTGCTTTGCGGCGCGCGGCTTGCTGCCACTACAGTACAGTCGCCAGCCAGCAAAGAAGCGAGCAATCACGAGTCAGAGTCGCTCAGGAGCACGATGACTCTGGACAAATACAACACTTTGTAGGCTGCCACTTTGGTTCCGAGGTTCGCGCTAGCATGTAGGAAAGCACACTAGGCAATGGGGTCCGGCTGCATCTCCATTCTGCCAATCTCTAGCGTTGTGTAAGAGCATCCAATTTGAGCTTCGTCAGGCCCGATACCCGCATCGAAGTTCATCGCGGATCCGCAAATACGGATCCACGCTTTTGGGCAAAGCCTGCTTGTGGGTGGCTGTCTCTCTGCACTCTACGGAAAGGTGTCTTCTTCAAACTTCAACAACTGGATTGACTGATGACAGCGCAGAAATTGAAATCCTGCCACTGAACCGAACTCTCGGCTTTTTGCATGACTAAACAGTGGATGGCGTCCAGCCCACTCTTTCGAGCGAGCGCATCGGTCAGGCTGTAGCTTGCTTTCTTGGAATGGAGCTGGGCGAGCACCTCACCTCGCAAAAGGCCGTGATAGTTGTAAGGTTGGCTTGACAGACCCTTGCCGCCCAGCTCCAAGCAGAGGGCTATTGAAGTCATCAGAGGCATGACGGCAAATCCTGCATTGCCCAATCAATGCTCAGGCCCCTCGCCGTTCGAGCATTCCGCAGAACAATCACTCGCGCGCGGGGTCGCACGCACATTCGGACTTCGCTAACACAGACTCATCAAGCTGCAAGTCGATCTCTCAAACGCTAGCGAACACACACTCACAGAGCAAATGGGGAAGAGGTATTGAGCGCCACATTAGCTACTGGCTCACGCCTCATCTGCAATATGGAAAGTCAGCCTCATAAAGTATCGAGTTTTGAGCAAGTGTGTCATGCATTCGCGATCGATGATCGAGTGATCCCAAAGACGCCTGCAATTGGAGTGTGAATCTTGAGCCCTCCCGCTCCGCAGGTGCACGGCCACGCCATGCGATTCGGCTCGGTTCGGCTCGACTCGCACGTGCTGCGGCCACAGGTACCAAAGTCCGGAGAGGTGGATGGGGAATTGGATGGGGGTCATCTACAGTATAAGCATGCAAAACAGAAATTCTTCGGCGCAATTATGAAAGCAATTTCAGGCTCGAATCGACCATGCATTCATCCCACGCTACGAATGAATCCAATCCAATCCAATCCAATCCCCACACTAGCGACGTCAAACAAACGAATACGAATACGAATACGATTACCAAGTTTGTACGGTCGTGGGTAGGTAGCATACGCCCGCTCGAGCTTGGTAGTAGTGTGTTCAGCGGCTCAGCTTTACGTAGTGCCGGCATTATGGACCAGAGGGAAAGTGATGGTGGAGTATAGCGTGAGAATTCAAACTCATACCGTAAGGCGCAATGTGGCATCCAAAAGAGATTGACTTCGTGGTTTGAAGACGCTGCTGTACGTGCCGAGTTGAGTATTTGGTTGGTTGGTTGGTTTCGTTTAATGTCGCTGCGTACATGCGCGCACTGACGTAGACTACGTAGGAATCTCGGGCACGTCAACGCATGCGAATCTAATGCAAAGTTGTACCAAAAGACGGTCAAAAGCCGAGCCGTCAAAGTCGTGCTGACAATCGTAAATGTTGAACAGCGAGGAAGCAGCTCGAGGGTGAAGTGGCGCAGGGCGCAGGTCGGACACGTACCGAAGCGCTACCAGATTCCACATCGAGACCGGACATGGAAGATGCTGCGGAAGGTTTCCTATCAGACCCTCCTTGGTCGTCCCCGCCCAGCGAGAAGCGCTGTCGCCCGCGAGCGTGCGCAATCAAAGTTTTGGCCCACTCGTCTCCTGAGCCTCTCGCATCGTCCGCCTGACTTGGAACTTGCCTGCGTAGATGTTGCTGGCGCTGCGCTGAGCGCATCAACACTCCAACAATTGCCGATCCAAGATCAAGTCAAAGTCTCGATTGCCCAGGCTAGTCGGGCAGGCTTAATCAACGTGATATGTATTAGTACAAAGCCTCAACACCGGGGGTATTGATTCTGCCGCGCTCATCTTGGAGGTCCAAGCGATCAGCTATTCCCCACACCCTCCCCCCTTCCTTTTCTTCACCCAAAGGCAGAGCGCCACGCTCCTCTCATTCTTGATGTTCGAACCATCCATAGTCCTCCCTAAAAGGTTCTTCCCACGAGCTAGCGAGTCTTCCGAGATAAGCCGTGATTCCCTTCAACTTCCAACCCATCCACTGTTCTTCCACGTCCATCTTTCTCTCCGAGACATTGGCGTTCTGCCTACTATCCTTGACGCTCGAAAAGGACATTGGCAAAAAGTGTTGAGAAAGAGCACCAGCATCGTCGTCATCGTCGTCGGCGTTGTCAGTGGCTCGTAGCGCTCGTTGAGCGAGGTCGAACAGGTCGCAGAGGGATGTGTTGCGTGGGAGGAAAAGGACAATATTGTTTTGCTCGTTGCGATCCAACTTGGATGCGCACTTTATCATCTTTTCGAGCCCGTGCGGCGCGCAGATGGATTGCAGTGGGTAGTAATCGTACCTGGCTGCCTGACTGGCCGCGGACTTCGAGTCCGCTGGTGAGCTAGTGGAAAGCTTGAGGTAATCTACGCCGCCCCAGGGAGGCGACAAGAAGACGCTGGAGTGATCCGCAAGACGCGTCCAAGTTATTCAGCGAGCGCCAGTGAGGAGCAGATCGGATCAGAGACTTGCGCACACTCACGCGTCGT